AAATAATAAATTACACAGTAATAATATAACAATAAATATTTTAAAATAAAAAAAATAACACATGAAATAATCAATTATATATATATATATATATATATATATATATACATATAGAGAGAGAGAGAGAGGTGAATTATTGTACAACCCTTTATATTTGTACAACCAATACAACTTAATTTTGACCGTCCATTTAATTTGATGAATATATGATTAATCAAAACTTCTATGAAATTATATATTAATCAAATTAAATAGACGGTTAAGATTTTGTTGTATTGGTTGTACAAATGTAAAATGTTGTATAATAACTCTCATACACACACACACACACACACACACATATATATATATATATATTATCATATGATGATACATTCTCCAAGTATCTATGGTTTGCATCCCACCTACCCCATCATTTATTTATTTTTTAAATTTCCTATAAAATTACCTCGTCATTGTAATAATCATCCTCTTAAAACCCTCTCTCAATAACTAATACTAATTAATGAAAGTTAACTCCTAACTAACTTCTAATTAATAAAAATTAACTCCTAATTAATAAAAATCAACTCCTAACTAACTTTTAATTACTAAAAAATACCCTATAAATAACGATGAAGTTTCATTTTATTACTACGTCGTGCAAAAGACTTAAACTTTCGAAGATAACTCATTCTTTTTATTATTGCAGGAAATGTCATTTTTTACGAAGATAACTCAAATCAAGGTGTTGATGACGTTCACAATTTTTATGCAATGCAAAAATGGTCTCACGAACAAATTGGTTCTTATGTGTGACCGTGGTGGTAAACCTAGCGGATCAGGATCAAATACAAATACTAGTTCCAAAAAGACATATTGTCCATTTAAGTTGGTAGCAAAATATTCATTGGAACATCATTATTGGACGATAAGAGTGGTATGCGATCAACATAACCATCGCCCTACAGTGAATCTAGAGGGTCATGCATACGCAAGACGGTTATCTGATGATGAATTTCGTTTGGTAGAAGATTTGATGTCGAAGAGTGTGCCACCACGTGAAATTCTATCAATGTTAAAGGATCGAGATGAGACTAACTTGTTAACACTCCCGACGATATATGAGGCACAAAAGAAAATTCGCAAGCATGAGAAAGGCGGGAAAACACCAATGCAGGTTCTTATGTCACTTTTGGATATTCATCGTTATGTTTATCAGTCTTATACACACCCAGTTACAAACGAGTTGCAAGCTTTATTTTTTGTTCATCCTACATCTTATGAGATATGGCGTGCATTCCCACACGTGTTGATTATTGATGCCACGTACAAGACAAACATATATATTATGCATTTTGTTCAGATCGTTGGTGTAACATCAACCGGCAAGACCTTTTGCATAACTTTTGTTTTTATAAGTGAAGAAAAGATGGACAATTATAAATGGGCATTGGAGCAGCTAAAGGTGACGTTAAATGAGTGCATGCACTCACGTGTTATAGTAACGGATAGAGAGTTGGCTCTCATGAAAGCGTGCGAAAAAGTTTTTCCGCACGCCAATCATTTACTTTGTATATGGCACATCGGTCAAAATATTTTGAAGAATTGCAAACAAACTATTAGATCGCAACATGATTGGAACCTTTTTCAATCGGCGTGGAAGTTACTTATAGATTCTCCAACGTGGATGTCGTACACGGAAAACTATGAGAAACTTCGAACAGTGTTGTCAAAATACCCCCGTAACTCTTTTACATTATTTATTTTTCTATACAATATTTATTTTTCTATATAATACTTAATTTTATATCAAGTATCTATATAATACTTAATTTTATCTTATTTCAGGTGTTTTAAGATACATACATGATAACTGGTTGGACAAATATAAAAACCATTTTGTCTCTGATTCGATTGACCAATGTTTGAACTTTGGAAATCGCACTACCAACAGAGTTGAGAGCCAACATGCTAAGTTCAAGAATTATATGTATCATCAAAGTTACACTCTGGATAAATTTGTAGTTTGTATTAATAAGATCGTAGAGTCACAACTCGTGGCAATCAAAGAAAGTTTTGGGAGAAGTGAAATTTCTCGTTATCACAAACACAATATACCATGCTTCAGTTACTACGGGGTTTCGTCTCAAATGAAGCTCTTGATTTGATGGTGAAAGAGATTAGTCGGTCGAATGGTTTTCAACTAGATTCCTCAACTTGTGGTTGTCAACTACATAGCAGTTGTGGGTTACCGTGTGCTTGCAGACTTTCAATGTACGTAAATTCAGGTTCGTATATGCAATTACTTATGATTGATTTAATAGTTTTAAGTCTTTATATTTCAACATTTAAGACAAAATATATTTGTATATGCAGGTGAGTGTATTCCCTTGGATTCAATAAATATATTCTGGAGAACGCTAAATATTTTACCGGTAACATCTTTCC